AATTATAAACAGAAAAGTACGCTCAGATGAGTCTGGTAAGAAAATATAGATAATCTTGTATTTAGTGATACATACTTTAACAGAGTTATTAAAAAAGTCCTTTTTAAATTGAAATTTTTGGAATAAATATTTTTCTCTAAATTGATTTGTTTGTGAAATTTAGTGAAAATCTGAATATCTTATACATAGCTTTGCAAAATTAAAAATTTTCTCATGCTTTTGCACCATTAAAAAGCAGTTTAAAACACTTATTCTACGTAAAAAATAACTTTCTTTAATATATCTTATTTACAATACATATTTATAATTAAAAGATAAAGAATTTTTAATAAAAAATAGAAAAAATGTGTTATCACGCTTATGGTATAATATTTATATAGACATTAAATAATATTTACTTTAGTAGAATACAATACTCCTTTTAGCTGTTAAATATTTATACAACTAAGGAATTTTTCATAGAACATAACTAGAACTGAATTAGAACTGAACTAGAACTGAACTAGAACTGAACTAGAACTGAACTAGAACTGAACTAGAACTGAACTAGAACTGAACTAGAACTGAACTAGAACTGAACTAGAACTGAACTAGAACTGAACTAGAACTGAACTAGAACTGAACTAGAACTGAACTAGAACTGAACTAGAACTGAACTAGAACTGAACTAGAACTGAACTAGAACTGAACTAGAACTGAACTAGAACTGAACTAGAACTGAACTAGAACTGAACTAGAACTGAACTAGAACTGAACTAGAACTGAACTAGAACTGAACTAGAACTGAACTAGAACTGAACTAGAACTGAACTAGAACTGAACTAGAACTGAACTAGAACTGAACTAGAACTGAACTAGAACTGAACTAGAACTGAACTAGAACTGAACTAGAACTGAACTAGAACTGAACTAGAACTGAACTAGAACTGAACTAGAACTGAACTAGAACTGAACTAGAACTGAACTAGAACTGAACTAGAACTGAACTAGAACTGAACTAGAACTGAACTAGAACTGAACTAGAACTGAACTAGAATTGAACTAGAACTGAACTAGAACTGAACTAGAACTGAACTAGAACTGAACTAGAACTGAACTAGAACTGAACTAGAACTGAACTAGAACTGAACTAGAACTGAACTAGAACTGAACTAGAACTGAACTAGAACTGAACTAGAACTGAACTAGAACTGAACTAGAACTGAACTAGAACTGAATTAGAACTGAACTAGAACTGAACTGAAACTAGAACTGAACTAGAACTGAACTAGAACTGAACTAGAACTGAACTAGAACTGAACTAGAACTGAACTAGAACTGAACTAGAACTGAACTAGAAACTGAACTAGAACTGAACTAGAACTGAACTAGAACTGAACTAGAACTGAAACTAGAACTGAACTAGAACTGAACTAGAACTGAACTAGAACTGAACTAGAAACTGAACTAGAACTGGAACTAGAACTGAACTAGAACTGAACTAGAACTGAACTAGAACTGAACTAGAACTGACACTAGAACTTGAACTAGAACTGAACTAGAACTGAACTAGAACTGAACTAGAACTGAACTAGAACTGAACTAGAACTGAATAGAACTGAACTAGAACTGAACTAGAACTGAACTAGAACTGAACTAGAACTGAACTAGAACTGAACTAGAACTGAACTAGAACTACTGAACTAGAACTGAACTAGAACTGAACTAGAACTGACTAGAACTGAACTAGAACTGAACTAGAACTGAATGAATAGAAACTGCACTAGCAACTGAACTAGAACTGCACTTAACTGAACTAGAACTGAACTAGAACTGAAACTAGAACTGAACTAGAACTGAAACTAGAACTGAACTAGAACTGAACTAGAACTGAACTAGAACTGAACTAGAACTGAACTAGACAACTAGAACTGAATAGACTGAACTAGAACTGAACTAGAACTGAACTAGAACTGAACTAGAACTGAACTAGAACTGAACTAGAACTGAACTAGAACCTGAACTAGAACTGAACTAGAACTGAAACTAGAACTGAACTAGAACTGAACCTAGAACTGAACTAGAAACTGAACTAGAACTGAACTAGAACTGAACTAGAATTGAACTAGAACTGAACTAGAACTGAACTAGAACTGAACTAGAACTGAAACTAGAACTGAACTAGAACTGAAGTAGAACTGAACTAGAACTGAACTAGAACTGAAACTAGAACTGAACTAGAACTGAACTAGAACTGAACTAGAACTGACACTAGAACTGAACTAGAACTGAACTAGAACTGAATTAGAACTGAACTAGAACTGAACTAGAATGAACTAGAAATGAACTAGAACTGAAATAGTACCGAACTAGAACTGAACAAGAATTGAACTTCAGTTCTAGTTCAATTACCTTGTACCTTGATATGTGAGAAATTTGAAATCAAGAAAAAAAAATCTATGAAAAAGCCAGAACTAACAAAAGGGCCAATGACCAATGAAAAAGAACAATTACCAAACAAAAAGTCAACTATAAAACAAAGTCAACTATTTTTGAATAATTTTTTAAGCATGTTAAATTAAACTTTTAACCTATAGTTTTTTTTAAATAAAAAAAATTAGCAAGTATCACTCCACCTTTTTTCTTAAATTCAAAACTCAAACAATTAAATCATCCATTGCAAAATCATTTTTTTTATTATAAAAATATCAAACAAACTATAATTTTCTCAATACTACAGATTGAAATATAAAAACCAACAAATCTATTAAACTAACAAGTGAAAATTGCTAAATAAACATACAATACGACAACAAATATTGTCATTGTTATGGATAAAAAATTGGTAATACCAACCCTTCCTTTTAAGTTTCAACTAATAATAACAATTATTACATACATCACCATACAAGGGAGTCTAATAAATACGTGAATTTGAATTTATATTTAACACATGCACTTTTATAATTAAATGTGAGTTTGTTTTTATTATAAAAAGATAAACCTCTATTGCAAAGACAATATTTTTTTTTTGTGGTTAAACAAATAAAAATTTAATAATGTACATAAATTGTATGTATAAATATTTTATCTAATAATAATTGGATGACCTTAACCGGCTTTAAACTAATATAAACTTACGCATTGCTCATACCTACATACATACTTGCAATATATTTTAGGGAATCTTATCTTTTTTGCTTTTGACGATGTTGATATAAATAAATGTTTAGTTGTTTGTCTGCCTTATGAACAATTTTGTTAATTATAGCTAGTACATACATACGTACATTCATTAAAAAATTTGAGAGATACTTGTTTCTTTTGAATAAATTTTTTAATAAAAATTGAGATAAACTTGTCAGCATGAATTTTACACTATTACTTTTCTAACAAGAACATAAGTCAAACGGAAAAAGAGAACTTAATTATAACTGAACTAGAACTGAACTAGAACTGAACTAGAACTGAACTAGAACTGAACTAGATCTGAACTAGAACTGAACTAGAACTGAACTAGAACTGAACTAGAACTGAACTAGAATTGAACTAGAACTGAACTAGAACTGAACTAGAACTGAACTAGAACTGAACTAGAACTGAACTAGAACTGAACTAGAACTGAACTAGAACTGAACTAGAACTGAACTAGAACTGAACTAGAACTGAACTAGAACTGAACTAGAACTGAACTAGAACTGAACTAGAACTGAACTAGAACTGAACTAGAACTGAACTAGAACTGAACTAGAACTGAACTAGAACTGAACTAGAACTGAACTAGAACTGAACTAGAACTGAACTAGAACTGAACTAGATCTGAACTAGATCTGAACTAGAATTGAACTAGAACTGAACTAGAACTGAACTGAACTAGAACTGAACTAGAACTGAACTAGAACTGAACTAGAACTGAACTATAACTGAACTAGAACTGAACTAGAACTGAACTAGAACTGAACTAGGAACTGAACTAGAACTGAACTAGAACTGAACTAAACTGAACTAGAACTGAACTAGATCTGAACTAGAACTGAAACTAGAACTGAACTAGAACTGAACTAGAACTGAACTAGAAGCTGAACTAGAACCTGAACTAAACTAACTAGAACTAAACTAGAACTGAACTAGAACTGAACTAGAAACTGAACTAGAACTGAACTAGAACTGAACAGAACTGAACTAGACTGAAACTAGAACTGAACTAGAACTGAACTAGAACTGAACTAGAACTGAACTAGAACTGAACTAGAACTGAACTAGAACTGAACTAGAACTGAACTAGAACTGAACTAGAACTGAACTAGAACTGAACTAGAACTGAACTAGAACTGAACTAGAACTGAACTTACGAACTGAACTAGAACTAACTGAACTAGAACTGAACGAACTGAACTAGAACTGAACTAGAACTGAACTAGAACTGAACTAGAACTGAACTAGAACTGAACTAGAACTGAACTAGAACTGACTAGAACTGAACTAGAACTGAACTTGAACTAAACTAGAACTAAACTAGAACTAACTAGAATTGAACTAGAACTCAACTAAAGTTCGATTTAGAACTGAACAAATATTGTAAATATTATTTTATTTTAGTAAAAATCCTTTTTATTTGCTTAAAAAATTATATTTTAAAAATATTACAAAATGCGCATTTTGTATTTCAAAAAAAAAAAAATATTCTGTGTAGTTGTATTCACTCTCTTACCCCTTTGACTGAGTTTTTGTTAATTGATCAATATGTAGTCATTTAATTGTATGCGAAAACGAATTTAAATTAACATACTGAACTTTTTTTCATTTCTATTCAAGATGAGATGAGCACACACATTCAAAAATATGAAATACTTATTGTTTAATTAGCTTAAAAACTATAACAACATTGTGTTTGGTTGTTTGTGTTTCTACAAATTAGTGGGTGTATTTTGTTAATAAAATAAAAAAAAAATATATAATTTTATAACATTTTTAAAGATGAATGACCTATAATATTGACTATTTTCCAATTTAAATTACAGTTTACGATGGCAACATCACCACGTTCGGTGGACACCATATCACTATGTTCCACCGTCTCTAGTTGTCCCGATCGTAATGGCTTTTATGGTGGTTTTCAACGTACTGACAAACCAAAAGAACCCTTATCAAAAGCACAAATTATAGCTAGAGAAAAGAAATGGTTATATATGATAGATAATTGGTCTTTATATATGTCCAAGAATTATAAAAAGGTAAGATTTTTAATTTTTTCAATTTTATTGAAATTTATTTTTTAATTTAATATTATCATTTGCAGATTCGTGATCGTTGCCGCAAGGGTATACCAAAATCAATCAGACCTCGTGCTTGGTTCTTTTTATCTGGTGCCTATTTGCTTAAAAAGAAACATCCCAATTTATATAAAGAACTTTTAGAGAAACCGGGAAATCCTCATGTCATTGAAGAGATCAAAAAAGATAAACATCGTCAGTTTCCGTTTCATGAAATGTTTTTGGATGAAGATAAAGTTGGTCAAATTGAATTGTTTAATGTCTTGAAAGCCTATTCGATATATAATCCCAAAGTGGGATTTTGTCAGGCTCAAGCACCAATAGCAGCTTTTCTCTTAATGCATTTACCAGCTGAAGATGCATTTTGGGTTTTTGTTAGCGTATGTGATGTGTAAGTAAATATAAATGTTTTTTTTATTTTTTAAGAAGTGTTTCAACCGAAACAGAGGTCTATGGATATACTACAAATGTAAATTCTTTTTAAGGAATTGATTTTCTAACGAACGCTTTTTAACAGACTTTTGTTAAAAATGTAGTTCTAGTTCAGTTCTAGTACAGTTCTATTTCAGTTCTGGTTCAGTTCTAGTTCAGTTCTAGTTCAGTTCTAGTTCAGTTCTAGTTCAGTTCTAGTTCAGTTCTAGTTCAGTTCTAGTTCAGTTTAGTTCAGTTCTAGTTCAGTTCCTAATTCAGTTCTAGTTCAGTCTAGTTTCAGTTTCTAGTTCAGTTCTAGTTCAGTTCTAGTTCAGTTCTAGTTCAGTTCTAGTCAGTTCTAGTTCAGTTCTAAGTTCAGGTTCTAGTTCAGTTCTAGTTCAGTTCTAGTTCAGTTCTAGTTCAGTTCTAGTTCAGTTCTAGTTCAGTTCTAGTTCAGTTCTAGTTCAGTTCTAGTTCAGTTCTAGTTCAGTTCTAGTTCAGTTCTAGTTCAGTTCTAGTTCAGTTCTAGTTCAGTTCTAGTTCAGTTCTAGTTCAGTTCTAGTTCAGTTCTAGTTCAGTCTAGTTCAGTTCTAGTTCAGTTCTAGTTCAGTTCTAGTTCATTCTAGTTCAGTTCTAGTTCAGTTCTAGTTCAGTTCTAGTTCAGTTCTAGTTCAGTTCTAGTCAGTTCTAGTTCAGTTCTAGTTCAGTTCTAGTTCTAGTTCAGTTCTAGTTCAGTTCTAGTTCAGTTCTAGTTCAGTTCTAGTTCAGTTCTAGTTCAGTTCTAGTTCAGTTCTAGTTCAGTTCTAGTTCAGTTCTAGTTCAGTTCTAGTTCAGTTCTAGTTCAGTTCTAGTTCAGTTCTAGTTCAGTTCTAGTTCAGTTCTAGTTCAGTTCTAGTAGTTCAGTTCTAGTTCAGTTCTAGTTCAGTTCTAGTTCAGTTCTAGTTCAGTTCTAGTTCAGTTCTAGTTCAGTTCTAGTTCAGTTCTAGTTCAGTTCTAGTTCAGTTCTAGTTCAGTTCTAGTTCAGTTCTAGTTCAGTTCTAGTTCAGTTCTAGTTCAGTTCTAGTTCAGTTCTAGTTCAGTTCTAGTTCAGTTCTAGTTCAGTTCTAGTTCAGTTCTAGTTCAGTTCTAGTTCAGTTCTAGTTCAGTTCTAGTTCAGTTCTAGTTCAGTTCTAGTTCAGTTCTAGTTCAGTTCTAGTTCAGTTCTAGTTCAGTTCTAGTTCAGTTCTAGTTCAGTTCTAGTCAGTCTAGTTCAGTTCTAGTTCAGTTCTAGTTCAGTTCTAGTTCAGTTCTAGTTCAGTTCTAGTTCAGTTCTAGTTCAGTTCTAGTTCAGTTCTAGTTCAGTTCTAGTTCAGTTCTAGTTCAGTTTCTAGTTCAGTTCTAGTTCAGTTCTATTTCAGTTCTAGTTCACTTTTAGTTCAGTTCTAATTCGGTTTGTATTCAATATTTATTTTGCAGCTACTTGGAAGACTATTTCATAAGCGGCTTAGAGGTTCTACAAACGATGCTGGTATCTTAGAGGGCCTTTTAAAGAAAACCTGTCCACCCGTCTATCGACACTTACAGAAGCACAAAGTTGAGCCTTTACTCTATATGACCGATTGGTTTCTATGTGCCATGACCCGTACATTACCCTGGGAAACATTACTACGGGTTTGGGATTGTTTTCTAGCCGAGGGTATACGTGTCATTTTCAAGGTAGCTTTAGTTATACTGGGAGCCTCACTCAACAGTCACAAAATACGCAAACAATGTAACGGCCTTTGTGAAACACTTGAAGTGTTACGAAATCCTCCCGACAATGTACTCGATGAGGACTTTATTATTAATCACATGCAACGTTTGAACTTACGCGTCGAAGACTTTCAAATCGAACATACACGTCAAAAGACACGACGAGCCAAACAGAAGGCTTTACAGGAGGCAGCTGCGGCACAACATTCAAATACGAGCACATTTACACGCAGCCGTACAACTAGTCCAACCAATATGTCAACCACAAATATGTCGACGACGGCAACGACGACAACTACAGCACAAACAGCTAGTGGTAATGTAACGGTAGTAAATATTTCAAGTGATCATTCGTATGCCTCCTCAAATGGTGGCGCAAGCGCTGCAGGTGCTACTAGTAATGGCGGTGGTGCTGAGGGTGGTGTTAGTTGTAGCAGTGGTAATGGTATTGTTAGTGTTTCCACAAATAATCATCATTCATAACTTTTATAAATAATATTTTTAGTTATAATACGAATATATAGATATGCACCTCCCCGGTAAAACGCTGAGCGTTTAAAAATATTCCGTTAAATGTTTTAAATTAACAATTGTTTTAGTTTTTTTTCTTTTTGTTTAAAAGATTTTTAAAGGATTTAGTTAAAAGTTAATAAGAAGATTTCAAAAGGAATGTGTATGAAATCTTTAGGCTAAATTATAGTGGCGAATAAAACCATTAGATGTCATTTTAAAAACTTTATTGTTTAAAAATTATATTTTAAGATTTGAATATGAGATTAAAAACCCTCTCACTGTACGATTATCTGTTGCTTAAGAGACCTTAAGAGGCTCTTGCAAAAGGCTATTTTTCCGGTTGATTTGTAATGGTTTTATTTCAATAATTTTGGCCAAGTTTAGTTACATTTTACTGAACTTCTTTGTACATTGAATTAAAATTTTATTTAAACTTTATCTTATATAAATATATATTTAACTATTTAACTATCCTCCTCCTTCCCTACTAAATAAATAAATAATTGAAGTAACAACAACAATCAAGCACTTTTAGTATAGAAATTTAACAATTTACTCTTTGTATATAAATCGAATATTTTTTTTTTTTAAAGCAAACGATATATAAACATCTATTAACAGAAACCTTGCAAACAAGTGCACAACTTATTAAAAAGAAAAAGAAATACTAATATTAAATAAGTCAATTAGTTTTAATTTCATTTATTTAAAAATTTGAAAAGAATTGAAAAATAATTTATAAAATTTATTTCGTTTTCAATAGTAAAACAACCTAATTTTTTTGTCATTCCATTCAAACGAAGTTAAAAAATTAAGCAACAAATAAATTTGCAATAATTTTGCCTTTTGTTTATTGTTATTATTTAAATATGTAATTTTATAAATATTGTCCTCTTTCATTATATCGTGCAATTTATACTCTTTAAAGTTTTTTCTCTGAGAAAAAAATTATACCTTACAAAAGAGAGTGAGTTAAAAGTATTTTTTTTATAATAATTTATCTTTTTTTTAAGATTTTGCTTATTTTTCTTTAAATGGCACAAATTAATAAAAAAAAAAAACATATTTTGTTTATATCAACCTCTACCACATATCGTATATTTAATATTATATATATATATATAAATACAAATTATTTATTTAAACAATATATAAAATTATTTACTGTTATGTATTTATTTTTTATTATTATTATTTAATTTTAAACTGTATTATTATCTTTATTATTAATTTTTAAAATTTGCAATATTTAAATCCCACTCTAAATGAAACTTTATCATTTCTTTAATTATTTACAAAACAGTCATTTTATATTATTATGAAATATATTAATAAAATTATTTATTTTATCCAAAAGTTTATGGTTGATAAATGATATACATAATAATTAACATGTTTATGACTGTGAGTTTAATATTGAAGATGTAACGGTACTTGTTTGCTGCAAGAAAAAAATTTTAAATAAAATATAAAAAAAATATAATAAAAATTTGAATAAAATTTATAGTTAAAAATAAATTTAAAACGATTTTTTATTCAGTTCAGATCTAGTTCAATTCTAGTTCAGTTCTAGTTCAGTTCTAGTTCAGTTCCAGTTCAGTTCTAGTTCAGTTCTAGTTCAGTTCTAGTTCAGTTCTAGTTCAGTTCTAGTTCAGTTCTAGTTCAGTTCTAGTTCAGTTCTAGTTCAGTTCTAGTTCAGTTCCAGTTCTAGTTCAGTTCTAGTTCAGTTCTAGTTCTAGTTCAGTTCTAGTTCAGTTCTAGTTCAGGTCTAGTTCAGTTCTAGTTCAGTTCTAGTTCAGTTCAAGTTTAGTTCTAGTTCAGTTCTAGTTCAGTTCAAGTTCAGTTCTAGTTCAGTTCTAGTTTAGTTCACTTTAGTTCAGTTCTAGTTCAGTTCTAGTTCAGTTCTAGTTCAGTTCTAGTTCAGTTCTAGTTCAGTTCTAGTTCAGTTCTAGTTCAGTTCTAGTTCAGTTCTAGTTCAGTTCTAGTTCAGTTCAGTTCTAGTTCAGTTCTAGTTCAGTTCTAGTTCTAGTTCAGTTCTAGTTCAGTTCTAGTTCAAATTCAGTTCTAGTTCAGTTCTAGTTCAGTTCTAGTTTAGTTCTAGTTCAGTTCTAGTTCACTTTTAGTTCACTTTTAGTTCAGTTCTAGTTCAGTTCTAGTCAAGTTCTAGTTCAGTTCTAGTTCAGTTCTAGTTCTAGTTCAGTTCTAGTTCAGTTCTAGTTCAGTTCTAGTTCAGATCTAGCTCAGTTCTAGTTCAGTTTTAGTTCAGTTCTAGTTCAGTTTTAGTTCAGTTCTAGTTCAGTTCTAGTTCAGTTCTAGTTCTAGTTCAGTTCTAGTTCAGTTCTAGTTGAGTTCTAGTTCAGTTCTAGTTCAGTTCTAGTTCAGTTCTAGTTCAGTTCTAGTTCAGTTCTAGTTCAGTTCTAGTTCAGTTCTAGTTCAATTCTAGTTCAGTTCTAGTTCAGTTCTATTTCAGTTCTAGTTCAGTTCTAGTTTAGTTCTAGTTCAGTTCTAGTTCGTTTCTAGATCAGTTCTAGTTCAGTTTAATTCTAGATCAGTTTCATATAAGTTCTATTTCTGTTTTAGATTAGTTCTAGTTCAGTCCTATTACTGTTTTATTTTAGTTTAGTTCTATTTCAGTTCCAGATCACTTCCAGTTCTATTCCATTTCAGTTCCAGTTCGGTTCTGTCTAGTTCTGAGTAGTTCAGTTTTAGTTCAATATTAGTTCAGTTCTACTTTAGTTCTATTTCAGGTCTAGTTGAGTTTTAGTTCAGTTTAGTTCTAAAGCAGTTTTAGACCAGTTCTAGACCGGTTCTAGTTCAGTTTTAGTTTAGTTCTGTTCAGTTCAGTTATAGTTTTTAGTTCTGTTACAGTTCAATTCTAGATCAGTTCAGCACTATTTCATTTCTAGTTCAGTTCCAGTTCTGTTCAGTTCTACTTCAGTTCCAGTTCTGTTCAGTTCTACTTCAGTTCCAGTTCTGTTCAGTTCTACTTCAGTTCCAGTTCTGTTCAGTTCCAGTTCAGTTCTAGTTCAGTCCTAGATCAGTTCTAGTTCAGTTTCAGTGCTGTTCTTGTCCTGATTTAGTTCTGTACTGTTCTAGTACAGTAGTATTAGCTCTATTTCAGTTCTAGTTCATATCTAGATCTGTTCTAGTTCTCTAGTCTTCAATTTTAGTTCAGTTCTGATTCACTTCTAGTTCAGTTATCTTCCAATTTTATCTCGGTGGAGTTCAGTTCTAGTCCAATTCTAGTACAGCTGTAGTTCAGATCTTATTTAATTCAGTCCTATTTAGCTACAGTTCAATTCTAGTCCAGTTCTAATTAAATTCTAGTTCAGTTCTAAAAACTTTTGTAAAACCATTTTGGTAAAAGTGTTTTAAAAATATAGAGTGAATTTAATTTTTTTTTTTTTAATTTTCATAACTTTTATTTAATAAAATCCTTTATTTATCAATGCTAACAACTAAACATTTATTTGTTGGTATCCATACAAAAGAAAAAAACTGCCAGAAAAATATTTATCAACAATTTCTTAACGTTTTTCTTTTATTTATTTTTACTTTATAAATAAGTTTACAAAAGAATACAAAAAAAAAAAAAACTAAATTTACTCTTCATCACCGCTACCCTTTGCTAAATCAGAAAAGAAATCTGAGGCATTAGAAACTTTCGAAGATGGTAGGTTGTGACGTTTCTCTTTGTAACTATTATGTTTCTCATTGTATTTGATATCGCCAAATTCCTCAAAGTATTTAACATTCCAGAAACGTACATCATTGTTGTGTGATGATGAGGCTATTAACTCTCCCGAATGATTGATATCCAAAGATTCGATGGGCATACTGTGTTGGCCCACAACACCCAGATTACGAAACGGTGCTATGTGAACGGCACGTATGATACCCTCTTCACCAGCCACACAGGCTATGCGATCCGTAATGGGTATCATTTCGGACATGGGAGACTTGACACCGGGAAATTTGTCACAATGATAGCCAAACTGACCCCAATTATAGGTATACAGATTACCCTTAGAGGAACCCACTACCAGTTTGGAGTCACCGCGATAGATGCCCATGCAGGTCAACTCCTCTTCGTAAGGTTCCGATTGTACATACAGTTTTCTGGCTGCAATATTAATGGTGGTCAAATAGCCATCACCACTTGTTACTAGCAGTAATTTGCCTGCATCATTTGTGAGTATTTGGGTGATATAGTCTTCGACTTCTTTTAAGGAGAATATTTCATTTTTTGTTCTCAAGTCCCAGAGTTTAACGGTACCACTATCATCGCCAGTGGCAAAGATGTTCTCATCTAAAACATGCAATTTATTGATGGCTTCTTCATGGGCACTTTCATAGAATTTTTTTAGTTTTTCGGTTTCCATGTCAGTGACCATTATTGACTTGTCTTTAGAACATGTCAATATGTTGCGACCATCTTGAGTAAATTCCACATCTCGACAGGCCTTGGCATGCACCTCAATAGTTCTTAAAAGTTTATTGCCTTCATTGGAATACTCATATAAAGACACATCACCGGTGATGGTAGCCAAGGCAATAATATCACGTTCAGGATGAAAACAGATATCGGTAACAAAATCTTCTATTTTAATTTCTGGTGGTGAGGTTTTAGGTTTTTTAATGGCAGCTATAATAGCTTTAACGGTCTCATCATCTTCCTCATTTTCATCCAATTCCAAAATCGATCTGGCGCCTTCATCATCACCGCCACCACCACCGTCACCTTCATCACCCTTTTGGGATTTGTCCTTGCTGGAGGAGGCCTGTGCATTGTTCGTTTTTGCTTGTGTTTCTTTCTCTTCTTCATTCATGGATTCATCAGAATCTGTGGCCATTTCGTCAAATTCCGAACTATCATCACCATCGGTATCTTCACTGCCAATATCATATTCTGCATCGACGCCTTCCGGTTCGTCTTCAATGTCCTCATCACTCCATGGTTCTACTAGGCGCACATTGCCTATTATAATTTCTTCATCTTCTTCTAGCTCTGCATCTGCCAATTCGTCTATATCATCCGAATCGGAGGGTTCCTCAGGATTTTTAAAATGTTGACGCCTAATGTTGTAACAGTTTAGTTAATTTATTAATTAGCGACATTTTTGTATAGATTTATTAACTTACATCTGCATTTCTATTTGTTTATTTATAAATCTAATACCAATTTTAGTTTAAAACACGCTTTTTCTTCATCGACACACACAAAAAAAAAACACAATTCCGCACTTTTTTTCAGAGGAATCAAAACAGAAAATGTGACAGAAAGAGAATAAAAGAGAATTCTTCTTCTAACAGTTTGATTACAATTGGAACCGATGTCGTCAAACCACATAAAATTGGAGGGCTACGAATTACAATTAAGCGACTGTCGACAAACCACATTTTTTGACATTTATAACAAAAAATCAACGCAAAGTTATGTTTTTGTTTAAAAATGGAATTATTTTTGTAATTTTATAACATGATAATAAGAGAAAATTGAGAGGTTAGCCAGAGATAGCAATAAAAATAGAACACAATACAACTCATTGTCGACAGTGGTTGTGGCTTCAATTGTAATCATGCTGTTTAGAAACGGTTATATAAGTAATTCACAAGAGCTTGATAGCACAGGCTAGAAAAATCTTAAAAAACCGGAAACGTTTAAAAATTTTAATTTTTTTTATATAATTTTTTAAAAAAATGTAGGTATACTGATAAAAATTAAGATGTAAAATAGATGAAAATTTATCCTATATTTCTATAAATATGACTTAGTTTGTAAATTGTTTCGTTACTTTTTAGTAACAAAATTATCCAATTTACATGAAATTTGTTATACCGATAGTTCTCGTACGGAACCATAGTCTTAGAATTGGCTTTAGTTATGCAGTTATCGAAGAAATGAAGAAAATCGGGGAACTACAGACAAAATGCCAAATAAACGTAATTAAATTACCAATTAGATTTAAACATATGTATGTTCTGACAAGAACCTTCTCTACTAAATAAAAGACGTCCTATTACGTATTTTGAATAAATTATTATTAAACAATTACATTTTTTAACATTTGTAATTTAAATTTTCTTTAAAGATCAACATCTGCTAAAGGTGTTATGAAAAATATTATATATACTTCAGCCTCTGTGGGATCTACCATCATAAAATGCATTTCCAAAAGACCACTCAAATCTGTCTTTAATGCCACCTTTGTTGCTACACCCAACGCCTTTTGGGTCATACGTATTAGGGTAGTTTTATAACGTGCCTTTGTTGTTTCGCGGCAATTGAATAAAAGTATCATATCACTGGTTTTCGCCACTTCTACACTTGATTCCGACTGCATAACACCCAAAGTGTCAATCTTAAAATGTGGTCTACGTGGTGAAATTGTTATTTCCAATTCTTCAGCTGATTTATCAAATTCCTGGAAAATACTAGCCAAATCAGGACCTCTTATGAATAAACGATTTAGACTGGTACTCTCATCATTCAAATTGAAATCCATGGGTTCCTCATAATGTGTAGTTTTAATGGAACATTCAGTGCTTATGTCCGTTTCATCATTTGGCTCTAAGACCAAAACCAAAGGGGCCTCCGGACCTTTGTAGTACATTTTCATGCTACAATCGATGCCCGCAAATATACTCAAACATTCTGCCAAAATATTCATATTGATGCTAAACTTTACTATGCCGTCCACATAGAATTCCGAAAAACAACGCGGCATTATGAACAGAGAAGCCTGTATGCATTTACCTTGTTCCACGGCACACTTAAAACCGTCCTCGCTTATCATAAAAGAACCATTTTCGCCAAAGCTTAAAGCTTTAATACCAGCTGTAAATGTTTTGATTTGATTTAAAGAGCCCACAAATTTAAAATTTGAGTATTGAGACTGTGTCAACATCTTCCAATTGTGCAGAATACCCCTCTCAAACAAGTATTTAGAATGTTGCATGAAACTTTGCTTGTCTCCTGTCGAATAAGTGTTAACCCAATTAATCTGCTGCTGTGTGGTCGGGTAGAAAATAGTTTAATAACAAATCCAGTTTGTGGTTGGGAACCTCTTTAAATTGCAAACATTTATGCTGTAAAGCAAATGCCAAACGTAACGCCAAAACGTGTTGACAGGTATAGGGTCCGGTGTAAGGAATCTGCTTGTTTAAAACCTTTTCTTGAAAATATTCACATGAACAATAATTCAAATGTCGGAATAAGCGCACTGTACGAAAAGAGGGACCACCTTCAGAAATCTCTGCTAATTCTAATGTTTTGGGTTCTTTGGCGGTGTAAATAATAATGTTACGATTGTCTAGTAAATGTAAAGCAGCCGGCACTAGATGTTTACCCAATACCTTGTGTAAATCCAAAAGTAGATTTTCTATTAATTTCATATACATAATTAAATAATTTTGCAAACTCAATTTACTTCTATGTATATCTACCTATAGCTCCTTGGTCTCGTGTGCAATTCGAAAATCTCCGGAAAATTTCATCCAAAAAGATAGGAAGTACAACTGATGAAATTCCCGCTTGCTGCATATTAAGCTGACTTCTGTTCCGAACGGCTGAAACTACACGCCGTTTACATATTAATTACAATTGGAACCGCTGTCGACAAACCACAAAAAAGAGCGAACGACGAATTAAAATTAAGCGACTGTCGACAGACCACATTTTTCGACGTTTATTAGAAAAAATCAAAGCAAAATGATGTTTTGGTTTAAAATTATAATTATTTTTTAGGAAATAAATAGGAATCGTTAAAAATTATTCAGAATAAAAGAAACAGAAACAAAACAATATGTTTTCGCATTTTAATTTTTATTATTTTCATTTAATATCTTCTGTTAGCAATAACGCATAGCGAAAAATGCGCATTATAACAACCCTGTTTTTGCAGTTTTGCAAGATTTTTATTAAAATATTATGAACATATAGCAACGCTACAACATGAAAGTAAGAGAAAAATGAGAGCATCGCCAGAGAGCGCAATAAAAGTAGAATCGAATCTATCTCAACCACAATATCGTCTCCAAAATGTATGAAAACTCATTGTCGACAGCGGTTGTGGTTCCAATTGTAATCAAGCTGTTACTTATAATTGTTTATTGTTTACATTTTTCTTCTTGTTTAAACAAAACATCCTCCGTAAAATATTAACTTTGGAATGAAATAAAACGCCGTTCTTTTGCCAACTTTGTACTTTGTCATTAAAAACAAAACAAGTACACAAAAAAAATTAGTCAATATTTTTTCAGTTTTCTTTTCCTTTAGAAAGTGATTTAGACAAATTTAACAATATACTAGATTAAATCTAACTAAACCCCTATAATCTGCTGTTTAAACCATATTCTTTGCAAAATGGATTTGGGAGAAACCGTTGAGGATGATCAAAAGTTTGTCATATACAAACATGAAGATTTGTTCAGCGAAAGTTTTCCTTTAATGAAAGAAATACGACGTATGGGAAAATTATGTGATGTGACCTTAAAGGTAATAAGAAAAGAGATGAAGAGCTTCTATATGTTTTTAAATTTAAATAACATTTACAATGTTAGGTGGAAGATCAAACATTCTCCGCCCATCGTATTGTTTTGGCTGCCACCATACCCTATTTCTATGCCATGTTCACCAACAATATGGCCGAGAGTCGCATCAAGGAGATTACCATGAAAGAAATCGAACCCACAGCTTTGGAAAGTTTGATCAACTTTGCGTATAGCGGTCAAGTACGCATTGATAATCAAAATGTCCAAAGTCTTATGATGGGTGCCTCATTTCTACAATTGCTTAAGGTACGTAATGCCTGTGCCGATTTTCTAATATCACGCTTTCATCCCCACAATGTATTGGGCATTAAACATTTCGCCGATTCCATGAGTTGTACGCATTTAATACGGGCCGCTGACAAATATATTGATTCAAATTTCACTAAAGTCTCTCAGTCGGAAGAGTTTTTGGGTCTCGACTTTGAGGAGTTAATTGAACTCATAAAGAGTGATTTTCTTAATGTCAAATCGGAAGAGATTGTTTTTGAAGCCTGTATGAAATGGGTAAAATACTCGGAAGATAAACGTTCGTCTTTGTTTCCACAAGTTCTGGCACAAGTCCGTTTGCCATTGTTATCGCCACAATTTCTAGCCGATCGTGTCGCACGCGAAGAAATGATACGATCATCGCATCAGTGTCGTGATTTATTGGACGAAGCTAAAGATTTCCATTTGATGCCGGAACGAAGGGGTCTTCTGCAAAGTTTTAGGTGAGTTGTATTTATTATAAAAGGAATTTCAAATATTTATAGTTATAATATTAATAAACTTAAAACTGTTTTCATTTCACAAAGAACTCGACAAAGAGGTGAATTCATTTCGGGACAAATATATGCTGTTGGTGGTTTGGCCAGTAATGGAGAATCAGTTAGTACTGTTGAGATCTATGACCCATTAACACAGAAATGGCGTATGGGCGAACAAATGTCCATGATGAGGTAAATTATTTACGAATAATAAGGGACATTTAAATAAACTAAAATCTCTTCAACAAAGATCACGCGTTGGAGTAGCTGTTATGGATGGTAAATTATATGCATTTGGTGGTTTTAATGGTTCCGAACGTTTATCTACCGTGGAGGTATATGATCCCAAAAAGAATGTATGGTCCCAGGGTAGTGCTATGAACTGTAAAAGAAGGTAATTATAATTTGTTAGGCTTAAGTTTTAGACAAATATTTGTTATTTGATCTATAATTAGTGCTGTGGGTGTAGCAGCCTTAAATGATTGCATTTATGTTTGTGGTGGTTATGATGGGGTAACCTCCCTCAATACTGTTGAATGTTATTGTCCCAATACGGATATATGGAAAACTGTAAGTTGAATTAGAAAACTTTTGAAAGTTTTTAATAATAATTTTATTTATATGAATTTATTAGGTAGCGCCCATGATGAAATATCGTTCGGCTGGTGGAGTGGCCGCCTTAGATAGTTTTGTTTATGCCTTGGGTGGCCATGATGGTCTCTCCATTTTCGATTCTGTGGAACGTTATGATCCCATTAATGATGTTTGGCATAAAATGAAACCCATGTTAAATCGTCGTTGTCGTCTGGGTGTGGCAGCCTTAAATGGCAAACTTTATGCTTGTGGTGGTTACGATGGCAATTCATTTTTACGCTCAGTAGAGGTATATGATCCCATTAAAGATTCCTGGTCCTTGGTAACGCCCATGAATTGTAAACGTAGTCGTGTGGCTTTGGCGGCCAATATGGGTAAACTATGGGCCATTGGTGGTTATGATGGTGAGACAAATCTTTCTACCGTTGAGGTTTATGATCCGGAAACAGATACTTGGACTTTTGTACCCTCCATGTGTGCTCATAGTGGCGGTGTGGGTGCTGGTGTTATACGTAATGAATAAAACAGAAATATTTTGCTTTTTTATGACACTCTTTGTCTTCAGGTTAGTTTTAATTAGTTATTATTTAGTTTTAATAATGTTTACTTTCTCATTTTTTTTTTCTATTCTACAAATTTTTATATATATTTTATGTGTTCTATATACAAACATACACACTGCGCGCGTTTTTTAAATGCAATTCGCTTATCATGAAAATTCAATACTAAAATTTTTTAAGAAAATTTAGCAAGGTCTCGTTAGCTAAATTCTAAAATTTCGATTCTATATTTTGATTGATCTTTGACTTGGTTTATTTAACAATTTTCATGTGATAAAAGTGAATTGTTAACATATTTTTTTTACATTTTCGCTATTTATAAAATATCATTCCAAATTTTTAATATATATATTTTTTTAACAAACAAGTTTCAGTTTTATGTGCTTTTGAGACTGCGTTTAGATCATTTTTAAACAATTAAAAAAATACATATAAATATTTACGAAATAAAAAATCGTTTTTAAGTAAAAATTTTAAAACACATGAATTTTGACTTGAAAGAAAATCTAAATTATTTTATCATTTCTCATCAGTTAATTAAATAAAAAAAATCGCTGGAAACTAATAAAAATTACTTGCAAAATTCAGCACAAAACTGCAACTTAACATCAAATATTGACTCATATTTTCGACTTAATTAATTTTGAGTATTTTTTTATTTTTTAACTCCTCTTGTAAGTAGTTTGATTATGAAATCTTTAATGAAATTATTAAATTTAATATGTAATTAACTTAATAAAATTAAAAAAAGTTTAAAAAATTATATATATATTTTTCTATAATTGAGTTGCATAAAGAACGTGTAATTCTTTCTCTCATGAGGATTATTAAAAAAAACGTTTGTAGCTGTAAAAAATACTACTTTCTTTGGCCTTAAGCAAAAGTTTAATACAAATCCCTATTACAGTCATTCCTATAAAAACAATTTAAAAAACACATTTTATGTGCAACATGATTTTTTTGTATATTGTGTAATGGATTTCATTTGTACGTACATATTTACAATTTACAGCAAAAGCAAAAAATATACAGTGTATAATAAAAATTAAAAAAAAAAAGAAAAATACATAATATAAAATAAAATTCAACTAATAAAATGCATAACCACAGTTAAAAAACAAATTGAAGCTAGAAATCATGTATGTATAAGTATAATACGCCTTTTTTTTAGATGTTAATCATCACTAAAATTAAATATACCCATGGACCATATCAAAGGTGTATTGGTTTCTACTTCCACCGAACATAAGGCATAAGTATTTGAAGTACTAACCATGCCGCCAAATTTTAAACAACTATTAGCTATAATGAAAAGTTAATTAATAAAATACAAATATAGTGTAAAGAAGACATACTTAAGTTCCATTTTAAACCTTTGGTCGTAACATTTGTAGCCTCTTGACCCACTGGTATTAAAGCGCACCATCTCTGTGCTTGCACTAATTCCGAGGGTATTGTTATGGAATGTTTGCCTGGCTTTAGAAGCCATGTCAATGAATTGCCGCTTAATAAATAAATATTGAAAAAATCTTGTTCGAACTTATATATGGTATTAATGTTTGCCATTATCTGATCAAAACGCCCAGAAGTGTCATGATAAACTATAATGTCTTGTATTTGTTGCTCCTGTAAAATAGGTCTAACGGTTTTAATGGCCTTCGTAAAATCGGTTGCACTTTGATCGGGTGTATGAATGTATTGAGTGTCTTTGCTATTAAAATATTGTCTTGTTTCTTCAGTTATAGAATCAAAGTCTCCCGATATTATATCTGGGGGCTTTAATATGCACTCCGTGGTGGTCTTGTGCAACTTAAGAAACTGTCGCCAACGATTGGCGCCTCCATCAATGCAATAGCGAGTAGTGGCTAATTTTTTTTTTTTTTTGTTAGAAAGAAATATGTATTAATTGTTATGACTAATATTTATTCAATATAATTGATGCATTTCTTACCATTTTGCCATAACTCTGTTACCACATGTTGAGGTATTCGTATCTCCCGATTAAGTACTAAGCAGACATGACCCTTGCCGACTTTATGTGGTGGATCTATTATATCTGTCGGTTGCCATTGAAATCTTTTGCTAAGTCCTCCATTCGTCTTTGACCCTGAATCATTGGACATTATAAATTTCCTATAATTGCAATGGTTTTTATTGTTACACCAAAAAAATAAAATTGTTTTTGTTGTACGCATCAATTTCAAAGGTACCGCAAGACAGCTGTTCGTCAGTGTTGCCATTGTAGTAATTTCGGTGCATAAGTAGTATGTATTGGGAATATTGTAAAACGTGTAATATATTATTTACTACAGATTTTCCTGTAGTCGGTATATAGGATTGGAAACATAAGATTCAAATTCGGAAATAACTTTAACCAGCTTAAATATCTTAGAGATATTAAACATAATATCATATAAGGCCTATTTCAAAAGAGAGGTTTTATCGGGTTAATACATTATTTTCCTTTTGATTTAAATTACGTTTGGCAACACTTCAAAAATGTTGGATTGCCATAGTCAGAAAATTTAATTACGGTACTTTATACCTATTAGGGAATCCATTGTTCGGCATTTTCTATAATCGGATTTCGAAGTTAATTTTTAAATTACTCTGACTTGATTACAGTTCCAAACCCCCACTTTAAACAAAATTTTTAATGTTTTTCTTTTCATTTCTCTTCAAACTTTAACATGATAACAATTCAAACCTTTACATAACCAGCAACTTTACACCCAATTTCACGTTTTTCTTTTCATTTCTCTTCAATTTATAAAAGTTCATATTTATAATTTTTCTCTCTACCACAAATAACGACTATAGGTATTCAAAATTACAAAATGTATAATAGGACTTAAAAAATTAATAAATGCACATTTCCGATATAAACAAATTACAGTTCAAAATTCTCGATAATTTTATTCTCCCTTATAGACAGGCTTACGCTTTTCGGCAAATGCTTGCAAACCTTCCAGTCTATCTTTTGTAGGTATAACCTGAGCATAGCATACCTCTTCAATGGAATAGCCACTATTAAGATCAACTTGTATACCCTTATCAATAGCTAATTTAGCCATACGAACACCGATTGGACCGTTTGGTAATATTTCTTCAGCCAAAGCTACTGCCTTTTGGTAAGCAGCATCTTTAGTTTCATTTTGTGGCACTACATGGTTAACAATACCCATTTCTTTGGCATCTTTGCCGTTGAAAACGCGGGCAGTAAATATCAATTCCTTCGCCAAGGAAGGTGATAAAATCCTAGGCAAACGTTGGGTACCACCAGCGCCAGGTATAATTGCCAATTTGGTCTCTACCAAACCCATTTTTGTTGTGTCTGCTGCTGTACGCATATCACAAGCCAAAGCCATTTCTAGGCCACCGCCTAAAGCAGCACCATCCAGAGCCGCTATAACTGGCATGGGTAATTGTTCAATTGTCACCAAAAGTTGACGCAAACTGCTGACGAAAGCACTAACATCTTCTTGCTTCATGCTCTTGCGTTCTTTCAAATCGGCACCGGCACAGAAAATACCAGGAGTAAGACTTCTTAAAATAACCACACGAGATTCATTATCACGTTTCAGATTAGACAATATGTCCGAAAAGGTTTCCACCAAACCACGGCTGAAGGCATTTTTGGCTTCTGGACGATTAAGACCCAAAACTGTGATGCCGGTTTGACTACCCTCTAAACGTTGGACAACGACCTCGTTACCAGTAGCAGCTTGTACAGAATAATATTTTGTTATGCTGGGGACAGCTAGGCTGCGCACACTAAAACGAGCTGTTTTTAAAAAATTGGTAGCGATAATTGACATATTCCTGGTGGCTGAAAGCTGAAAATTTAAAAATTTAATAAAAATTGCGAATGATTATAAAACAACCGTACCAATTGCGAAAAAAACAACCAGCTGTTTGATTTTTTTTATCAGCAATGTTTTTATGTTGCCACTATTCTGAATAAAATAATGTGGCATCATAATCAAATTTTAAGCATGGCAGCACTTTTACTCGGTTTCTTAATTTATCAGCAACTTTTGGGAGATTTTTAAGCTTAAACATTGTAAAGTTGAGACTTTAAGTTATTTACATTAAAATATATATTTTTAAACTTTTCAGCTTTTTGTTTTAACTTATACAAAGTTTTTAATTTTTTTAATAAAAAATGGAAATATTTTGATTATTGTAAATTCCGACTTTTGGTGATTATTCATAATCTGGCAGCTCTATTTTTCTATTATTGTTTGCGCGGATTTTATTTTGGTTGATAATTTTCTAAAATTATTTAGTTTTGTGTTTACAAACCTATGGATTGAAAAAATATTTATGTTGATTAAAGAATTTAGTAAATAAATTTACAAATATTTGTATTAAATAGAAGTTAAAGTTATAAAATCTGGAAATAAGCAGAAAAATGTCCAAGAAAATAACAGCATCACAGAAATCCGGAACAATCAAAACAAAGCAAATGTCTTTGAGTTCATTTTTAGGTTGTAGTCAAAATAAAAAAGGTAAAAATTGTTTAGCATTTTCTCGTGATTAAAACTAATGGATTATTATTTTAGATATTACACTAGCAGCAGAAAGAAAACCAATGAATCCTATTTATTTGGACTCCGATACAGATGAAGAACAGGAAGATGATGTAAGAAGTACCACAAGTTCACATAAGTCCAAAGAACTACCAGCCAAAACGGATAACAATAAAAATAATATATTTATTAAGAAATATGTTTATGAAGATGTTGATAAATCACCTTTAGCACCTATAAAAACTAAAACCAATGAAACAGACTTAAAACAAGAAAAATTATCCACTTCTATATTAAACTCCCCTATGAAAATTAACTTTGATGATATCGAAAATACCTACCAAACGTCTATGAAATCTCTTAACGAAAGTATAGAAAAATTGACCAGGGAACGCAGTAAATTTACACTTACACCAATTAAAAATTCTACCTCAACAGCAGCATCAACTGAATCCCCTAAAGTCCTAAATGTACCATCTGAAGGACATCTGGATGATAGTTTTGATGAACTGGTCAATCAAACTTATCGATTCAAAAACAATAACCGCGTCTCAGCTGCCAGTAATAGAACTGTAATTGATCTTAATAGTAAATTTGGTAAAACAAATGATGATTACTCAATAAAACCCAAAACAGTCGATGACAAACCACCGGAGCCCATAAAAACAAATTTTGTGAATGTCTCAGAACCCGCAACATCAAAAACAACAACAACTAGTGATAATTTGAGCAGCTCTAAAAAAGCGGAAAAATCCAATATCAATATAGTTTTTGAAAGTGGGCTTAATGATTATTTGTGTGATTTAATGCAAAGTCATCATTTTAAAACGGGTGTTAACGAAGTAAGTACATAAATAGTAAATATAAACAATTGGGATTTTCCAGTTTTAGTTAGATTTGCACGTTTTAGTCAGAAATAATCCTATAATATCGGCGATAATTTCGAATAGAAAACTTAGTATGTAGAATGAACGACAATGCTAATGCTTTCACTAGACAAAATTGTTCTTCTTAGGAAAGCTTATTAAATAAATTAAATACATTTTTATATAAAAACATTTCTAATACTATACGTATTTCCATTTAAAGGAAAACATTCATGTACTTAAATCAAGCTTATCCTTTTTCAAAACGAAATACTCAGAATTAATGGAAAAATATTGCAATATAATTGATCAAATACCAGCCGATTATTTTAACTCTATTGGAGGCTTTGAGCCGGGTACATTTCTGAAATTAAAAATAATACGACAAAAATTCAAAGCTAAAACTAAATTACTAAATACTACATTGGAAAAAGTAGAGCAGCAACAAAACACACATTTTAATATAGATGATGTAGAGACGGAGGATGAAGAAGAGAAGCCACAAAAATTAAATAAAATAACATCGCCCACAAAAATTGAAGTGAAACCGATTAGACCCACAATACAGCTGGAACCTGAACCCGATTTTGATATCGATGATATGGAGGAAGAGGAAAGACAAATAAAAGCCGAACAAAATGAAATGAACAAATGGAATAAGCCTGCTACTATCGAAAGCAACTATTGTAATGGAGCGCCTGAGGACGAAGATGATTTAATAGAAATTAAGCCCATCAATAGTAAAGAAAAAATCTCTGCCGTTAATGTAGAAAAAATGTCGGAATTAACGCGTTTTAGGGAAGAATTAGTACATGATCTATGTGAAGATGAAGAGGAAGAAGATGAGGAACAAACTTATTTAAAAGAAACCATATGTTTGGATGACGATGATGACGATAACAACTATAACTATACTACGGATACAAAATCAACTAATGGAAATATTCTGGGCGCAGAGGTTGAAGATGATTGCGAATTGGATGATTTATTAAATGATATTAAAGAACAAGATAATGAGCTAAAGGGACGTCAATCACTTTTTAATGGTTATGCCTATAGAGATTTTGAGGAAGAAAAGCAACCGATTAAAGAGCAGCCATCAGCACAACGTATCACATTTCCGGTGGAAACAAATCAAAAAGCTAAAACACCTGAACTTGATGAAGATGGATTTCCAGTAAGTGAAAAATTAATTTAAATTAACATATTTTTTTTTTTTTGAAAATTCGAACTTAAGTTCGAGAAAGTGTTTAAATAATCTCTACAATAATAGGATTCATAGAAATATACATTTAATTCTATTTGAGATTAATTTCTTTCATTTTCAAATTTCGAAAATTTTATAAAAATATAGTTTTAGAAAATAAGAATTTTAAAGCATATTCGAAAATTCGTTATGTTCGAAAAAAATTTAAAGTTTTTAAAATAATCTCAAAATCATGAGAATTTAGAAAAATATAGTTTTTGTTTCGTTTAATTTTATTTTTTTTACATTTTCGAATTTCGAACTTAAAAATTTAAAAAATAATTTCAAAATTTTCATGAATTTTGAAAGTATTTTCATTATATAAAATAATCTCGTAAAAGTAGATTTTAGGTTTTATTTAAGATAAATTTTTTTATTTTCCAATTTCGAAATTGAAAATTTTCAAAATAATATCAAAATAAGTTCCAAATCAACAAAACTTTTAAAACTCTTTAAAAAACTACCTTTAAGATATATGATCCCGAACAATTTGAATTGGCCTATTCACAAGCAGCGGCAAAACTTTCTACAACCTACAATTCGACTTCAACTAGCACTGCTACTGCCAACACTATAACTATTGATGATGACGATGACGATTTCGATAATCGACCCAGTACTAGCCACCGTTCATCTTTAGCAAATGATTTGCTAAAAACGCCCACAACAAAAACGGATATACGGCCGAGTTTAACAAAATCTGCTCAAAAAGTAGCTGGTAATTTTCATTCAAATGTTCATAATGATGGCATAACCGGTGAATTCGATGGATGTAATTATCCACATTCGGAGCGTATGATGCAAGCTTTACGCTTTAATTTTGGTCTTAAAAGTTTTCGTCCCAATCAATTGCAGGTGATAAATGCTGCTCTCTTGGGGCATGATTGTTTTGTTCTAATGCCAACGGGTGGTGGCAAATCATTGTGTTATCAATTACCTGCCATTCTTACAGAGGGAGTTACAATTGTTATCAGTCCTCTAAAATCGCTAATTTCCGATCAAGTAAATAAATTGTCTTCACTGGATGTAAGTGCTTTTGTATAACAATTATTTCGGAATTAAAATAATATTACGATTTTCTCTCTTAGATCTATGCCAAAAACTTTTCAGGTGATCAATCTATACAAGAACAACGTGCAATTTACTGTGATTTAGAGACCACACCGCCACGCATTAAAATTTTATATGTGACCCCCGAAAAGATATCAAGTTCGGCTAAATTTCAAGATCTTTTAGATACTCTATATCAGAAAAACTCTATTAGTCGCTTTGTTATAGACGAGGCTCATTGTGTATCACAGTGGGGTCATGATTTCCGTCCCGACTATAAACGTTTGGGCATATTAAGAAAACGTTTTCCGAAAGTCAATACCATGGCTTTGACCGCAACTGCAACGCCTCGTGTAAGACTGGATATATTAAAACAGTTAAACTTAACAAAACCCAAATGGTTTTTATCTAGTTTTAATCGCAGCAATCTTAAATACACTGTATTGCCGAAAAAAGGTGCCGCCACTTTGGAAGATATCAAAACATTTATACGCTCGCGTCCCTCTACCGATAGCGGCATTATTTATTGTTTATCACGCAAAGAATGTGATGATGTAGCGAAAAGTATGTGTTCGGCTGGCGTAAGAGCATGTGCTTATCATGCTGGCCTAAGTGATAGTGTACGAGAGTCCAGACAAAAGGATTGGATAACGAATAAAGTACGTGTAATATGTGCTACCATAGCATTTGGTATGGGCATTGATAAGCCCGATGTACGTTTTGTTTTACATTACTCCTTGCCCAAGTCTATAGAGGGCTATTACCAGGAAGCCGGTCGCGCTGGACGCGATGGTGAATTAGCCCACTGTATTTTGTACTATAACTATGGAGATATGTTACGTTATCGCAAGATGATGGATAGTAAGTTGAATGAGGAGTTTATTTTCAAATACCTATATATCGATAAAAAAAATTATTTTGTTTTTCTTTATAGTGGACAGATCTATAAACTATGATGTTAAAAGAATTCATGTAGAAAATTTAAATCGTATTGTGGGTTATTGTGAAAATGTTACAGATTGTCGTCGAGCCCAGCAGTTGGATTATTTCGGTGAACATTTTACCCGTGAGGATTGTTTGAAAACTAAAGAAACTGCTTGTGATAATTGTTTAAAGCAGAAACGTTATCAGGTAAAATGTAGTAAAAAAAATTAAAAAGCAATGTGATGAATAGCTTTGTATAATTCCCATATCCTCTTTCTTCAAACTTGTGTGTTAAAAAGAAACTTTTTTTTTCCAGAAAATCGATGCTTTGGAACATTGTCGCAAAGTTGTGCGCTGTGTAAAGGATTTATGTAGTGGACGTTCCCGATTTACTCTACTGCATATTGGTAATACAATTAACTTAATTTTCGTTACATCGCTAAGACTAGATAATCTGGTAAAGACCAGGAGACTAAAGACTTAGTAGACTCACAATTATAGATTTGTCTATAGTATTCTGGACTATAGTCTTGACTATATAGACTGTGGACTATAGTAGTGACTGGACTTTAGTCTTTACTATAAACTGACTATAGTCGTGACTATAGACTGGACTATAGTCTTGAGATGTCCAAAAATATTAAAAATAACAATTCTTTTTTACAGCTGATGTTCTTAAAGGTTCGAATATAAAGAAAATCATTGATAATGGTCACAATAAAACACCACATCATGGTATTCTTAAAGATTGGGATAAAGCCGATATTCAAAGACTATTACGTATAATGGTTACACAGGAATATTTACGTGAAGATCTTATATTTGCCAATGATATACCCCAGGCGTATATCTATTTAGGAGCTAAAGTAGATATAATTATGAAAGAAAAACTCACTATGGAATTCCCATTGACGCGCAAAGAAGGTAAAGCCCAGGCACTTGGTCTTAGTAATGATATGGTCGAGAGTGCGAACAAGGCATCATCGAAAAGTAGTCAACAACTTAAAGATATCTATGAACGTTGTTATTCCGATCTACTTGATCTTTGTCGTACAATTGCGGCTGCACGTAATGTTACCATGGCTAGTATTATGAATATACAGGCCATTAAGGCTATGGCAGAGCAACTACCCGAAACTGAAGCGGAAATGTGTTCAATACCTCATGTAACAAAGGCGAATTTCGATAAATATGGTGAAAAGTTATTAGAGATAACACGAAATTATGCAGCCGAAAAATTATGTTTGCTAATGGATCTGGAGGAGTTGGAAGAAGTGGAAAAAGAAAAGGCGTCTTCCACAAGTTCAACACTAAAACGCGTACGTGCGGATAGTAGCGATGACATGGATGCTGATGATGGTGAAGATTGGGGTAGAGCTGCGGCTTCGCAAGGTAGTGCTAACGCTAGTGGTAGCGGTAGTTATCGTGGTGGTAAAAGAAAACGCAGTTGGCGGGGTGGAGGCGCCAAGAAATATCGTAAATCTGGTGGTGCGGCAGCTTCCTCGTCATGGGGTGCAGCCGCAACATCTTCCCCTAGACGTAAGTACACCAGTAAAAAGAGTTTTGGTTCACCGGCACGAAAAAAAGCAGCTCGTGGTGGTCGAGGAGCATCAAGTGCTGGAGCACGTAGTAGTGGCGGTGGTGGCACATGGATTGCAAAGAAAACAGGTAAATAAAATTATAGTTTTTTCATTTGAGTTTACGTTTAGTAGTTACGATTTTTGTTTAATATTTTAGGTACGAGTGGCGGTTTTCAATTGATGCCTTTACCAACTTCAAAATAGTATTGTTTTTTAATTAAAAAATCTTTTTTCGTTACTATACATATAATTTCATATAGTTTTTTGTATTTTATCACTTTTTTAGATTACTTAAGAGCATTAATAAGCATTTATAAAAATAGTCGTTAATTTAATAAATAAATTATGTTTTTTTTAATTTAATTGAAATACAAATTGTTACATAGCTAATTAATGATTCTATTGGATATTAAAGCTTTCTAAAGGTTGTCGGGTAACTGCTTTCCCCATAACTATTTGGCTTGAGTGCATATTTAAAACAAATTTAATTCCAGCCAAATATTTAAAATTTAAATGTTGAAATGCAGATATTGAACTTTAATTTAATTGCATAGTCCAGTCAAGTTGAACAATCTTTAAAATACTGTTACATCCATTATTTAGTATAGTAACTGAAATTCGGTCATCAACAGAGTTGTATTGCTTAAAAACAGTAGTAATGCAGCGGTAATACAGTGTACACAAGTCGATAACAATGTTATTGGCAAAAAACTGGCAACACTATAGCCGATAACACGGCTTGGGCTTGTACGAATGTGAATGCGAAAGCAAAATCAAAGAAATAATTGCAAAAGTATTCTTTTTGAAGAGCTCCGTAAAAATGCCGTAAACAATAAAAAAATATTTAGCAAATTGATAAATAAATTATTTAATTTATTAATTTAACTATAAAAACCTTCCTAAGTGTTTAAAGTTTTGAATCTACCACCAAATTATACATGGTTTGGATAAAAATAAAAAAGTGGAACAATCTAAAGTAACTCATTGAAAAATAGAAAAAAGCAGCAGACAAGCAGGCAGGCATAAAAAACGAAAGCGAACAAAAAGCAAATGTAATAAAAAGGTAAGAATTTAACACAAAAAACTGGATTTTTTAACTAAAAAAGGGAAATAGTTAATGGCATAGTTTTTATTTTTATCTCCAGTCTTTTTTGAAAGAATTGCACAAAAAATGGATAATTTAGAACCCTGGAATATGTTTACCAATGATTTTGAGCCAGATGAGGGCAATATGGATGAGGCTACTGTGGAAAATGAAGATGAGGAAGGTGATGGTGGTGAAGATGTGCCATTTAGTATACCCTCACCAGTGCAGGATATGCAGGTTAAAGAAGAGCCTCAAGAGGCTGCCGAAGAAATGTTCGATGACGATAACGACAACAATATTCCATTACACTTTCTCTCTGACGCTGCCAATAACAATGAAAACAATAACGAAGATGACAGTCGTATTCGCAATCGTGAAGAGGATGATGCCCTCTTTGATTTCGGTTTAGAATCATCAAATTCACAAAATCGTTCTCTGTTCAATAAATTCTCAGTAAACGACAAAGATTATCCGAATTTAACGCCGGAAGACCAATACTACAATGCTATGGTCAAATTCGAAGATGCTGTTATTTATATATGCCCGGCCTGTGGGCATGAATTTAGTTCCCAAGATGCCTGGAAAAATCACTTGAACGTTATACATCTTTTCAATACACGTCGTGGCTTAAATTTCATACAACTCGATAAACTCTATCATGAATGCATGGAATGTCATAAACGTATCGCTATGCACAGTATGGAGAATTTACTTAAGCATAAATTCACCCATTTACCGTTTAGATGTAGCAAATGTATGGTGTGCAAGCGTCAGTATAAATATCGTCAAGATCTTATGGTGCATTTGCGAATGACCCACCGTGACGATTTGATTGCTCTGCTTAAAAAGGAACATACGAAAACTAAGAATGCGAATACACAGCCGCAAACTATACGCTCAATATTAAGTCGCTCAGACGGCAGCGGAGGACCTCAAAATAGTGCCAGACCTAAAATATCGATTGGTATGGTTAAGGAGAATGCTACAGATTTATTTGATAATATTGAAGTGAAAAATGAAGTACTCAATGAGGATGAAGAGGATGATATGATGGGCGATGATAGTCAACCACCGCCAGCAAAAAGGCCTGCTATGGAATTGCCCGCATTTCTGGATGACGGTTCTACAAATGGTTCAGCGCCCGATCAAACATTAACAAGTCGTCCAAATAAATCTTCTGCGGCAGATGAAATAGATGCTTCATTGGAAGAGTATGTTCTATTCACTTGTCCCCAATGTGGTACCGAGTGTGAGACACAAGCACAGTGGCGTCAACATATTGAATATGTACATGAATTTGGTACAAGAAGGGGTCTGAATTTTCGCGAACTGCTTAATCAGCAGGCTCAGTGTATGGGTTGCAATGTGGTAAGTAAAAGTTTTGTTTATATTTATATTCTACACCAACCACTACATTAGGTTTATGCTAATGCATTTAACGCACACAAATATTGTTCATATACCCATGTTAAAGTATACGAATCAGTTTGGAATCATTTTCTGAGTCTGTCTGGTTAACAAGGTACAAAGTCGCTATTTTGGAGATAATTTGATTACATGTGGCATGTTTTTTGGATCAAGGAATATGGTAGGAATTGGTCCATTATTTTATCTACTCCTCATACAACCAAGCCCCTCGAATAGGCTTTGAGCTCATAATTATAACCGATAAAAAGCGACATAACTTATATTTATTTGATAACTGTTCCGAATTTCGTAACGATCAGGCCTCATTTTATCCTCGACAAAGAAGGATCAAATGAGGCGGAGTAGATTGTTCCATAATTCTTTTATAAGCCGTTATATAGTGATGGAATTCACTACAAATTAAATTTAAATATAAAATCACTTTTTTGGGAATCGGTCCATATTTGTCCCTAGACCCCTTATGAAGAATATTTTTAAAATTGGGCTTAAATATATCGAAACCAAGGTAAACTTTAAAATAAACCACTTTTTATACTCAAAACTGACCATATTGTTGACCACGTCCGACTTTACTTTCATACTTGTTAATTTTAGAATTAATTTAAAGTTAAGTGTAGCGTACAATTATAAAAATATTCCTTTTTTTCAGATCCTCTCAAACTCTTCTATACGCAGTCTACAAATACATAAATTCAGTCATTTACCCTACAAAAAATGGATGAGTTGTAAACTTTGCTTCGATTCTTTTAATGTAAATCGCGATATTGTCAAACATTTGGCCGCTAAACATCATTTGGTTTCGGAAAATAATACACGAGCAACTGCTGCACAAAATAACGATGACGATAGTCAAGAAGCATTTGGCTTTGGTGGTGGCGGCGGAGGTGGCTTTGCGGATGATTATGATGATGGCGGTGGTGGTGGTGGAGGTGGTTATGGAACGTCAGATAGTAAAAATGTATCAGCAGGACCGGATGCCTATACTTCGAGATTAGAGGAACGTGATGTCTTCGAACAGCATATAACGTACATTTGTCCAGCGTGTGGTAAGGAATATAATGATAAGAAAATATGGCGTAAACATATTGTAGAGATACATAAATTGGGTGAATTAGAAAATTTAAATTTTGAAAATATCAATGATCGCCAATTGAAGTGTAGGGAATGTGATAAGATTATAACGAATGCCTATGGCATACAAAATGCCCAACAGCATCGTATGACTCACATGCAGTATAAATCGTTTGCCAAGTGTCGTTTATGTCGTAAAACCTATACCGATCGTAAGGGTTTAATCAAACACTTGAGAAACTCTCATAAATTGGGAGCAAGAGGACCAGGAGGTTTTGGACAAATTAATCCTGTACCACCAGCAGGAGCGACAAATTACGGCAGTAGCGGTGGCACTGGCAGTGGGGCTAATAGTTTCAAACCATTTGTCAAAAAACCCTATAAAATAGCTCACTATCCTCCTAAGGAAATTGTAAGACTTTCAAATTATACCTATGAAATTGTACATTTAATTGAAGACGATGATGATGACGACGATGTAACCGTAGTGGGTGGCTATGATTTCGCCAAAGGTGATGCTCATTTATATCAAAATAATAATTCCCCTTATAGTACACCGCCAAAAAAGAGTAGTAATAGTAATATGGAACAAATTACTCGACATAAATGTGTCGACTGTGGTTCCATATTCCCCACACCTCAAGCTTTACAACATCACATTAGACAGGAACATGATTTTGTTGATTATCAAAGTTCTTCCTCGAATCAGGGCACACAGCAAACTGAGGAAAAATCCAATGACACGGATGATTTATTAGTGCCCAGTCGGGATGTTGATGTTCAGCCTGACGATCACACAACCATGGACTGTAATTTTATTTATCTATGTCCTCAATGTGGCTTAGAATTTCGCTCACAAATCCAGTGGCGTCGTCATATTAATGTTGAGCATAACTTTGATAAACGTGAATATTTGGGTTTCCGTGCTTTGGATAAATTTCGTTATCAGTGCAAACAATGTAAAGATACCGTGACTAGTTCAAAGCTTAAGGGTCTGCAGGATCATAAATTCCGTCATTGTCCTTATAAACTCTATTTGAAGTGTCTGCTGTGCGGCCAATCGTATAATCATAAACCCAATATGATTGCTCACTTACGACAAAGACACAACATAGTAGAACTTGCGGAAGGAGCAAGCGGAGGAGCAGCAGGAGGTGGAGGAAGTGGTGGTGGCGGTTCTTCTATGGAATCGAAACAGCAAAGATATTCATCAAATTTACATACAAGCAGCTCTACTTCTAAGGAATTTAATGATGCTCCCGCTAGACCTATACGACATACTGATCCTTCTACTAACAATACTAATCGACCACCTGGTTTGAAAACTGTCGAAGATGTTATATCTTTTCACAATGCCGTAGATCATGAAACTATTACCTATCACTGTCCCTCATGCAATCAAAGTTTCGATTCCCATGTCTTTTGGCGTAAACACATTGTAGAAGAGCATAATTTGAATAGTCGCGAAGGTTTGAATTTCCGGCAATTGGATGAACATCATTACATTTGCTTGCAGTGCTATAAAAGAGTCACGGTCACACACACCAAGGGCGCTATAGGACAATTGCAATCGCATAAATTCAGACATTTGCCATACAAATCGTTCAGCTGTACCGCCTGCCAGGGAGAGTTTGTACGTAAACAAATGTTTTTCAAACACTTGGATAAAAACACAAACAAATGTTCAGGCATTAATCCGGAAGCAAATTTTGCGGATGCAGGCGATACCAGCAGCGCCTTTAATAATGACGAAGAAAGTGGTGTTGATTTTAATGCTACTACTACGGAAACTGTCACTGGTGGTGGCAGTTCAGCTAAATTCTCTTGGCCTACACGCGCCTCACTGCCAGCCCAATCAACTAATGCGGCTAATTCCGGCGAATCAACTACCGAAAATCAGGGCTGTTTTACTTTAAATTGCCCCCAATGTGGAGCTGATTTCGATACTACACGCGGTTGGCGTGAACACATAAATATTGAACATAATCTCAATAATCGTACAGTTTTGAATTTCAAAAAAATCAGTGCCAAACTACACCTCTGTTTGGAATGCAATGAAACGGTAAATGGTCGCAAATTACGCGATCTGCAGGTGCATAAATTCAAGCACTTACCCTATGGCGCCTATTTACATTGTCGCTATTGTTCTATGAAATATTTCCATATTAGCAATATGCAAGAGCATTTAAAGAATAAACATCCCAATATGGTGCAAAAAATGAAAAACTATGAAGACGATTGTGTCACACTCGATGAGGACGAGGATGGTAATGGAGAGGGAGGAAACAATGATGTTGAGGTGGCGGGCCTAGATGCTGAAGCGGAGGATAGTGAAACGGGTTTGGAAGATGTAGTCGATATAGATTTATTGGAGGCAGAGGCCGAAATTGAAGAAGTTGATCCCGATAATGTTGAATCTGATGAACAATATCTCTTAGGTTAAGATTTCCTAATTAAAAAAAGTAATAACAGCAACAAATACAAGTTATTTATATATACATATAACTGAAATAATTACATTATTTTTTTTTTATTTTATCTCTCACAACACTCTTACACTTTAGTTAAACACTTGTCCGAAACTATTTTAAAGGTTTTTTTTCTTTTTAATGCATTATTTTATTTATATTTATAAGTATTTATCTTTTTATTATATACAATTGTAAATTCACCTATTATATACACCTTTATTAAGCCCTTTCCAGCTAAAATTTTTTTCACCTTTAAAACTATATAATTTCATTATTTTTTATTTTATTTCTCACAATGCCCTTATCATCTAGTTTTTAAAATATTTCCCCCTTCATTAAATTAAACATAATTTATAGTTTAACAACAAGAAATCTATTATTAAGAAAAAAAAAAGCATCAATAACAAAACAAAAACGTAATAAAGTTTCAGTTAAAAAGAAAAAAAAAAAAATAAATTTTCCAATATTCATTGTAAATCGAGTATCAACTGTTCAACTTTTCTTTATACCTAGTGTTACAGTATAAATTGTGCACTGTTTTATCTACTTTTTATTGCACGAAAAAGTGTACATACTTTAGGGGTTAAAAATTAAAGCAATTTCAAAACAGCCTCAAGATATGCTTTGCTATTTGCAGCAAAACTTTTATTTTTTAAAAAATGCACCTTGCTGCTGAATTCTGATATCCTGGTATTTCATACAAATTTTAAAATTGCATTTTGGTGAGAAAAAAGCTACAACAACAAAGTGACTGACTGCAAAATCAACGTTTTCTTCCTTAAAACAAATAAAAAACGATATTTTATATTTTTTATTATAATTTTTATTTAATGAAATTTTTTTATATATTTTTCTGTTATATTTTCTTTTTTTTATGTTTAAATCTCAGTTGAATAATAAATTTTCTTGTTTGTAAATAATAATAAAATAAGAAAATTGATAATAGTTACAAGTTTAGAGTCCAAAATACATGTTTATCTTTTCTTTTTTTTTAAATTTGAATTTCAGTTAAATTAAAACATATTTCTCAATATATAATATTTAGTTTAAAAAACATAACTCAACGATTTTTTTTTTAAATAAAACAAATATGTTTTATAGCAAATTTTAAAGCGTTAAAAAAGACATAATGGAATAAAATACAAGTTTTAATAGTGTTTAAAAAAAAGTCAAAACTTATACATTGCCAAAATCGTTAGAAGGGGGAAGGGAGGTTTTAATTAGAAAGAAAACTTGATTTTTGTTTTTAAAAGACAAAGAAGTAATCTTTCCATTAGTTCGTTAAAACATACAGCATATAATAATTGTTATATGTGTGTGTGTGAGTGTTACTATTATTATTTTTTTTATAATTAATATGTATATTTTATATAAGTTAGTATATTGTATATACCATATATATAATTATTTTTATATAATAATGCAATTTAGAGAAAGAAAGCAATATTCTTTATATATATATTTTTTTCATTTTGTTTGTTGTCTGCGGTTTTTTGTTTGTTGTTGTTGTAAGGGTGTTGGTGGTTGTGTAGTGTTGTAATGTTTGAGTGTTTCACTTAATTCTACATTTTAACCTTGAGCCGAGTTAGCATTGGCCAATTCCCGATAGGCTTCTTGCAGAGCATGTTGCATTTCAGGTGTTAATTGGCTAGCACAGACTTGGAAGACCTCGGGATTCGTTTCGACTTGTTTAACAATGGCCAACATACGTGAACCCACCTCACTTACAACAGCTACCACTTTGTTAACAAATGCTTGAGCGATGATGGAAACAATACGTGGTAAATTACAATTGTTGGCACCCAAAATGACGGGATGATTGGCCTGTATTAAATCACACAAATAACCATAAATATGAGGAGCCTCATCGCTGTCTTCGGTAACGGGCAACCAGGAGAACCTTTAACATTAAATATACAAAATTAGTTTTTCTTTAATTTTTATAAAAAAAAAAACATTTTCCTGTATACACTTACCAGACATTAATGATTTCATCAACATTTTGTAAAGCAGATTTGTTGTACATTAAAATTTTCGATACAGCGGAAATGGCATTCTCTGTGGGATTAATATTTTCGGGTTCACGACTCTTGGGATCGTTGACAACTTGTACCAACAATGGAATGATTTGTGCACAGGTTACAGCAAATTGTTCGCCACCAAATTGACCCAAAACACCGCAACCATAAGCGGCTGCTTGGCGTACTTCTGGTGATTTATCGCTAACGTATTGCAACAAGGCAGGTGTAAAGAACTGTTGATAAGGAGCACTAGCTGGGCCGCAGAATTCTGTGAAGAGCAAAGAAATTAATTAACATTAAATATCGGAAATTTTTCTTTAAGAACTAAGTTAATAAAAGTACTTTAAAAAAGTTATTTAAACGCACTTTTTAATAAACGAGATATAGTACATTAAGACGGTATTTGGGTACATTTTCCTCTCTTTTTAAAAGTACTTTTTCAGAAAAGTATTTTTTTATAAAAGGGTAGTTTAAAAAGTATAATATCTCCACTTACCAATAACATCATCGAAAGCACACAAGCCCCACTGTCTGTCTGACCATGATCGTGCTGGATCCAAAAGTTTTACAAAGTTCTTAGCAACTTGTTCAAAGTGTGGCAAAAATTGTGCCTTATTGGTCACGAATAGAGAATGCAAAATGTCAATAACTTTAGATAATATATAAGTATCGGTATCATCTTGTTCGGCCAACTCCTCTTCAACACCATCATCGTAATCCTCTTCGTTGCGGGCAGCCAAACGTTTGTCGGCACGTTCAAAGTGTTCGTCCATGTATTTGGTGATAATTTCCAAAACTTGTTTCATGGCTTCATCGTTGAGGCAGTTGGGTCCCAGGGTTTCAATACATTTGGCCAATGAATTCAAGAGTTCAGCCTGTACATCGGCTTCGGGTTCGGTGCCAATAACCTTCAAGAGTTCGGGACAAATGTAGAGCCACATACCTTCCAAGTATTGGGGTCCCTTGATTTTAGCGCAATCCAAAAGATAGGGCAAGGACTCAGCAGCAGCAGTACGTACACCATCGTGGAAATAGAATTTCAACATGGGCACCATTAGACGTACGACTTCTTCGGCGTAATCGGCGAAACCGTCCTTGAGCTCACGAGCATAGCACACTAACATTTCACAGGCCGAGGCCTTGTCTTCCATGCCGGCTGTGCGTATGGCAAAGTTTTGTTGTTCTCCCAAATTAATGAAAGACCAATCGACATCGCCTTCAATATCCTCTACCTCATCGTTATCCAATAGAGCAACTTCTGGTTTCATGGCAGCTGTGCGCATAACGGGGCCCATAACCAAGGGTAAATATTGTTCAAATTGTTTGCCCAAAATTTTGCACATACGAGCCCAGGCGGTGATCAAGTACGAAGTCTGAGGATCATCATCAGGCAAATCGCCTTCGGTGTGGGTCTTCAACAACATGTCCATGACTTCACCGGCATCAGTGATGAATTTCTCACGGCCTACGGCCAAACCAATAAGACTGACACATTCAATAGTCTTGCCACGCAACATGCGCAAATCTTCAGAGTTGGCGTTTTGAATAATGAACTTTAAGCAGGGCATCAAACGATCGTAGTAAGCAACAAATTCTTTTTCACAGGTATCGGCCACCGAAGCAATTGTAGTAACTACTTGTTCCAAGACGAATTTATTACCCTTCTCAACCAATTCCTTGAATTTAGAGTTGAGAACAGCTTCCAATTTAGCCATGATGCCATCCAAATAACGGGTCAAAATGTTCTTGGGACAATCTTCGGAGAAGTTGACCAAGGCAGCACCAGCATGAGCCTGCACGCGTGGGTTCTGCACATCATCCAACAAGGATAGTAGACCGGGTACAACTTGGGCGTGGAATTTCTTTTCAAATGTGGGAGCAAAATCGGTAGACATTTGACCGATGGCATTACAGGCGGCATAACGTACACGAGGATGAGGATCGCTCAAGAAGTTCAAAACACCAGACATTACTTGCTCCAACATGGCTTCCATTTGTTTGTGGCAACCTTCTCCAATGGCTGAGATGGCCATAAGGGCAGCATAACGTTGCTTCCAATCGGCATGACCCAACATAGCAGGCAAAGAGTTCATGACTTGAGGTAAAACAGATTTACCACCTAAACCACAAGCCAAACGATCCAAGGAGGATTCGGCTATAACATTGTTGTCACTGTTATCATCGTCGGTGACGACATCCGAAGTGGCCCAGTCTTCATCATCATCCATATCGGTCATCATTTGCAAAACCAAAGGAATCAAGGCATTAACATACTTTTCAGCGCGTTTACGCACCATGGCGGGAGCATTTTCAGCCAAGGAAACCATAACTTCCAAAACCAAATGGCGCCAGCTGTCTTCGATATCTTGAGAGCTGAAAACCTAAAGCAAAATTATATATTTAATACTATTCTATGTTGCTCTGCCTTCATTTCTGCTTACCTTCATGCAAATTTCGAAAATAACTTCCAATTGTGGACGCAAGAATTTTGGACAAGTTTCGGTCATATCAATCAACAATTTCACCAACGACTGATCATCTTGTGCCTCAATACTTTCAGCTGTGATCATAATCATACGTGGCAACAAATCACCAAATTGCTTATAGATAACCGCTTCCTTTTCCTTATCGTGTTGCAAGATAAAAGCGCCAATAGCACGTACAGCCTGGAAACGCACTTCAGCATCAGCTGTGGGTTCCATACTCTTGGCCAACATCTGTTTAATTAAGTCCAAGTATTGAGTCTCTTGATTACCGAAAATCGATGGTACACTAGCGAAAATACGCAAGGCTGATTCCTGCAATGGTGGTGAGGGTGAGTTAGCGCATTGGAACAGGAATTGCAAAAAGTCAGGCCATTGATTGTTGCCATCATCATCGATAAGATTGCGTGCTGCTTCGGCTACTACTTCACAAATTTTACGACGTAAATTGGGTGTTACATCTTGTTGGACGGCGAGTAAAATTTGTTGTAGTAATTGACCTTGAGCTTCTTGCGGTAACTAAACGGAAAAAAGAAAGCAAAACATAGAAAAATAGAAATGAATGAATGGTTAAAAGAAATGAATAAAAACAAACATTGCGTGTAAATTAAACACAAGCGCACATGTAAATAGATGGCATATAAAAATATATATTTTAATTTTATTTCCAAATCGTTATAAAATCACATAAACTAACACGCATACAATTTTCTTAATTTACGCAATTTATTGGTTACAACTAGTGTTAGTGGATTAAACGCTTTGCATATACATTTTATTTTTATTTTGTTACCGATACTATTTTGTCTGTAAATTAATCAATAAAAAATCCATAAGATAAAATAGAAAATATTGTTTTTATTACTAATGGCTTTTTAGCGGATTAAGTTCTTAACATGAATTGTTTTTGAATTTGTTATTAATTATATATTGCAATTGTTTACTTATTGTAGAGAATTATTCATAGTTTCAACGCTTATTATACTTAAGGAAGTATTTAATTTTAAGTTTTGCTATGAATGGATATTGACAGGATACTGTCCGGTATTTACTACTTTTAATAGACATTTTTGGTTACTTGAATATAACATTTTAAATCCAATATTTGGACTCCTAAAGACCTAAACCTTGTCTCTACCAATAATTTTCATGATTCTGAGAATCTTTCTAACTAAAAGCTGCACATTGGCCTATGCACGACCAATGGGCATTAAGCCTATTGCTCCATCTATGAATGTTGTTCAACGCTGACGAGTATTGATATATAGGATCCTGCACATAACTACGTATGTTCTCCTCGTATATACTTAGGTCCTTCCTTGCATGAATAGGTGTGGTATCTAAATGTGTATTCTAGGAGGAACTGTTGTGTTCCTTGACTAGGAGGACCTTCGATTCCTTATATTTATAACATTTTGTGTGGAAAAAAGTGTTCAATCAGCAATTGATAACTCCAAATTCTGCTTAAACTGTTACCTTCCGATTAGAGTGGAAGTAATTAATCTCATCGAGAAGTATCGAAATTGAGCTGCTGTTGAAGTCTTAGACATGTTAGAGTCAGCTAAGGTGAACGCACGAAAGACTTAACTTATATAGAAGATTATGGATCTCCACTGATGATTCGAAGAACTAGAACTGAAATAGGCTGAACTAGATCTAAACTAGAATTGAACTAGAACTGAATTAGAACTGAACTAGAATTGAACTAGAACAGAACTAGAACTGAGGAAGAATTAAAATAGAACAGGACTAGAACAAGAACTGAACTAGAATTGAACTAGAATTGAACTAAAATTGAACTAAAATTGAACTAGAACTGAACTAGAACTGAACTAGAACTGAACTAAAACTGAACTAGAACTGAACTTGAACTGAACTAGAACTGAACTAGAACTGAACTAGAACTGAACTAGAACTGAAGTAGAACTGAACTAGAACTGAACTAGAACTGAACTAGAATTGAACTAGGTCCTTCCTTGCATGAATTGGAGAGGTATCTAACTGTGTGTTGTACCAGGAGGAACTGTTTAGTAAACATAATGTTGTGTTCCTTGACTAGGAGGACCTTCGTTTCCTCATATTTATAACATTTTGTGTGGAAAAAAGTGTTCAATCAGCAATTGATAACTCCAAATTCTGCTTAAACTATTACCTTCCGATTAGAGTGGAAGTAATTAATCTCATCGAGAAGTATCGAAATTGAGCTGCTGTTGAAGACTAGAATTGAACTAGAACTGAACTAGAATTGAACTAGAACAGAACTAGAACTGAAGAAGAATTGAACTAGAACAGAACTAGAACTTAACTAGAATTGAATAGAACTTATTTAGAACTGAACTAGAATAGAACTAGAACTGAACTAGAACTGAAGTAGAACTTACTTTGAAATCTTTATAGTGTAACTGCCTTATTCATGACAATTTATCAAAGGTTTATAGAACAAATTTTGTGCGAAAGTTTGTCTTATAAACCTTTGAGAAATTGTTTTGATAAAGGCCCTTATGCATACAGATATTTTATTGAATAATATTCCTTGGAATATTATTACCTTCTTAGATGTTTTTAAAGACTTTGAAAGGTCACCAGTATAGAATTCTTTGTTTAGAACTTATATGTATAATAAATGTAGTTTGAATCCGGAGAATCTAAAACGGCTTTTTTAGATACGGATTTTTAATTCTCAAGAATATTCTTTAAACGTTTTTTAATCTTATTAAATCTTTATTGTTTCAATGTAATTATTTGAAATACAGTTAAGTTTACAAAAGTGTAAAGTACCTCCTCCAAGAATAATAATAGGAGTAACAATTGGTTACTCTTCAATAGGAGCTCTTACAGACAAATAAACATAAAAAATGTGTTCGTTTCATTTTGTTCATTTTTGGAATTTCAATTTTAATCTTTTCTCTTTAGTTCATCTTCACCTTTCTGGTGTTACTAAGGGAATTGAAACATTTCAGTGTTAGCTTTTATGCAAAAAGTTCTCTAATCTATATATCTAACATATTTTCGAAAAATTCTATTCTTTAAAGATTTTAAAAGAAACAAAGAATAGACTTTGACTTTAAAGATGACCTAATTTCTTGAACGCAACGGTAATCAAAATAAACGTGTCTTAATTAGTAGGGAAATGAGATAAGAAATATGTACTATGCATTTCCTACAAAAAAAAAAAAAATAATTGTTTTATGCCCAGAGAGAGAACAATAGACTGACTCTCCTTATATAGAGAGCACAAAGTGATTTTATTAATGTGCTAAAAATATTTACAGCTTTTTGAGGTGGGACTCTTTTTTTTAGTTATTTGTATATTTAATTAATTCATTTAAGGTATATATATTCTAAAGTTTCAAAAAAATATATAAAATATTTTGTAAGTTGACAAAAGAATTACACTTTCTGTGAGTCACTCCAATGAACATGTAAAAGTCCTAGTAATTACTAAATATGAAAACTCCAACATTAATTCATTTATAATTATTTGTTTTTCATTTCCCTAGCACAGTATTAGATGGAATTTTGTTCCTACTTTTATTACTTTATTAACAATAAATTGACCTGACCTTAGTGTCAAACTATCAACAATAAAGTGGAGCAATGTATAAAAATGCTAAATATACTCTATTAAATATAAAACGGCAAAACAGAAATTAGCCCTGACATAACCTAATTTTTTTAAGTTTGCTGCTGTTGTTTCGTACTACTGCTACACACAATACAAAAACACATTTCTTTCTTTCCATATAATATAATAAAAAAATAAAATAAACATAAAATATTAACAACAACGAATGTGTATAGCGGTAGAGGGATTGGAGTGTGTTATTAGTGGGAAAGGTTGTTGGATGTATAGAATGGCAGCAGTCTGACAGACTACCTGCTTGATTTTTAAGTTTTTTTTTGCACAACATTTTTTTGTTTTTGTTTGTGTGTGTTTATTTTGGCAAACCGAAAGATAAGAGAAAAGAAAAATGAAAAAAATGGCAATGCCATAAACAACAAATACACACCAAGAAAATGATAAAGTAAAAACAAATAATCAAGTACATTTTAAAGAAAAAATATTAAATTAAATAAAGATTTTTAAAAAGGTATACAATATACAACGTGTGCATTTTCATAAATAAGTATGAAATGAAAGTCGTACATAGACGACGTTTAGATACTCTACAATAGAGGACTCTGTAGAGCGAACTGTACAGAATTTGATAGAAAAGTTTATTTTTAAAATATATCATTTGTTTCGGAATGATTTTAATGCCGAAACTTATTAAATAATGCGATACACTAATATTCTCAATAAGGGTTTATTAGGGACGTAGGGTTAACTATGGAATGATCTTAGTTCATATTTAGGTCTAGATCGTTTCTAGTTATGGTCCACTTTTAGTTTATTTCTGATTTCAGTTAAGTTTTAATTCATTTCTAGTTCAGTAGAATACAGTTCTAATACAATATTTGTTAAGCTTTAATGCAGTTTTAGTTCAGATCTAGTTTTAATCTAATTGATTTCAGTTTTTGTTTGGTTCTAGTTTAGTTTTAATTCAGCTAAAGTTAAGTTCTAGTTCCTCTCTAATTCTGTTCTAGTTCGATTCTAATTCAGTAGTAGTGCAATTGTAATTCAGTTCTATTTAAGTTTTTGTTTGGTTCTAATTCAGTTAAATTAATTTCTAATTCAGTTTTAGTATTACTCTAGTTCAGTTCTACATAAATTTAAGCTTACTTCTGTTCAGTTCCCGTTAATTTTAATCCAGATCAGTTCTAGAGTTATTAATCCCATAGTTTTTGTAAAGAAGTGGAAATAATTCAAATTTCAATTGGAATTTCCATTCCTATCTTGTACCTTGTCATAGTTATATTATGGGTTGGGCAATTAAAACTTATTCTAACCGATTGCTATATTATAATGCGGCTGTAGCAACATCACAATAGTGTTGTAAGGATATTAAAATAGCTACTAAGGATACCTATAATCTAAAAATTTTATTATTATTATTTACTCACCTCTTTATAAAATTCTAAAAATTCCGAAGTAAAAAGACGACGTAAAAGAACGGCAGCCATTTGACGGGCCTCTTCGGATTGTTGACCATTGTGAATGGTGGCCAATAGATGAGTTACCTTAAGTTCACGGGGCACATTGTTGTAAGCATCCTGTAGGGATATAACAAAGAAATTCAATTAAATAGTTTATAGATTATATTATATAAAAACTAAAAGATAGGTAGGTATAGTAAAAAGTTAATAATAATTTCAAGATGTTTATATTATGTACAAACATATGACAACATTCCATTGCAAGGTCACTTACATATAGTACCTATGGTTCTGTTATACACCACAGAGAGTAGGGGCGGAGGAGGTTTTGTAAATGACAGGGAGTAGTTTTTTTATGCATGTAAATATACTAGTGGTGGTGGCTATAAATCAATAGGCACCATAACAAAAAAAAAAAAAAAAAACAACACAAATAAACTGCATGTATTTCGAGATTTATTTCTGCAAACTCATGCAATTTTAATTTGATTTTTTTTTATTAGATTTTACAAAATGCGTCATTATATATTAGGATCACATTTTGGGGTCTTCAACAAATAGCAAACCACCCGCCACCACCCTATAAACAAAACAAAAAAATGTTTTACTACCAGAGTGACAGTTGTTGTCAGTGTGATGTTTTTCTGTGCTTTTTTTCTTAATTATTTTTGCTATTGTTGGCTTTGTTTTGCTTCCGTTCCATGAATCATTTTTCTTAGGAAATTAATATAAAATTGTCTATAGTATATTAAGAAATAAGAAAATGTTAATGGTTTTGTTTATTAATATTTTTCTTAGCTCATCAATATCAAATATTATTTTTAGACCAAATCCAGAGAATTCTTTAAATATTAGTTATTTTCTTTGTACATTGGCCATACATTATTATTTTTATTAACCGCAGAAGCAAAAGAAAAAACACGTTTCGCGCTATAAAAGAAATCCACCACAGCATTTTTGCCATGTTCCCCCTATGTGGGAAAATATACGAAATGGGGCTGAACCTTCACACCAACATGGTTAATAGAACGAACACCCCCTTGAAATTGTTCCAGAAAACTTTATGCCTGCTAATTTTGCACTTTTTTGCTTTTAGAAATAAAGATAGAAAATAATAAATGTTTTTTATTCTTTTTACACACCTCAGCTTGTTGTCTCACTTCATTGTCGGTAGATAACAAAGAATTTAAGATTTGTTGAAATTGATCAGCTGCCATTGTGTTATTTTGTTGTGAAATTGTTGCTGTTTTCTCCACAATAAACTTTCAAAATTCTTTTATTTGGTTGATGACAAATTTATTTTGATTTTTTCTCTGCTCTTCGTTTCAACTACAATATATTCTTTTTTTCTTTTCTTTTTTTATTTTAAAATATATTATCCGCCTCGCGAACCGCACGCAAGCACGATGCAAAAAAAAGAACCAACAAAATTCGTCGTTAGTGATGGTATGCAAAGTAACGATTTAAGTGTGTTGAAAATTGTGAACAGAAAGTAGTTGGTATTTTGTGGTGTTGCCAGGTGGAGATAATTATTAATTAGAAGGACGTTGCATTGGCAGTATTGCCAATTTAGCTATTTTCTCGTTAAATCTTGCAATTTTTAATCTCATTTTGCAGGAAAAAATATGATTTAGCTATTAGCGGGAAATCTAACGATTTTTCTTTAGATTTTAAGGCATTTTTAATACAAATAACGATATTTATATATAATAATATGCATTCAATGTAAATTCTTGGAGTTTTAGTCTGCGACTTAATAGCTGTATGTATTATACAGGTTGTTTTGAATGTTCTGAAGAACATAATTAGAAGCATACCGGTTTTGATTATATTTAGAACAGTGATTTATTCCTTATAATAAAATATTTGTGTGGAATTTCACCTTAAATCCGACTTAATTTGCCAAGTTATTGGACATAAACGCCCACAAAAGGGTTGTAGGGTATAATTACTCTTGCGCCAAAAATAATAAACATTTTTGAGGCAATAAAACAGGTAAAGTTAAACAAAAAACTTTAGATGGGGTAAATACAATTAAAAACTTTTCAAATACCATCACAGCATTTCTTGTAATGTACCTATTACAAGAAATTTCTAAAATTCAATTGGAAATTTTTGAAATTTATTTAAAAGAAATGTTTGATTAAAAAAATAATAGAATTAGAAAATGTTTTAAATATTTTAATTAACAAAATTTAAATAAAATAAAACTAAAAAATATTTACAGGGAAATTTAAAACAAAAAATGTACAAAATTAAGAAATAAAATAAATAAATGTACAAAGTTTTTAAAAAAAAAACTACAAAAATATCACTATACAAACAATAAAAACTTAAATATAAATTCTTATAAATTCCTTGACATATTCGACCACAAACGCAGCGAAAAATGATACATCATTTCGACCATACTTAGTATGGAAAATCCCATAAATAAACCGAAAATGCCACCACAATTGGCCAAAAAATCAGTAACACCATAAAGTTCAGAACGTTTGGAGGTTATAAACTGACTCTCTTTGAAATATATCGCTAAACGTGTCATTTGTGAACCGGGAAATTCTTCAAAAAATTCCGTATCACCTGCTGCTTTTAGCATATCTTCCAAATCGAAATTAGCTTGGGAAATTTCAGTATTATAGACCAGAGATGTACAGGCAGGCATACAATTACACTCCGTTTCGCCTCTATAATTGAAATCAGTATTTTTAAGACCTTCACTAAACTCTTTGAATAAAAGATCATCTTCGGCTCGGTTGTAACAATGAATTTTATCCTCGCCACACACTGGCATATCAAGAGTACGAGGCATTGAGAATTTAACACAACCACATTTGCTATAAGTGAAATTGGTTAAACACTCCAATTCGCAATTATTTTGTGTATAAATTTTGAAAAACTTTAAATGGCGTTCGCTATTTAAAAAGCATTGACGTCGATGTGGATGATACTCAGATATACCGGCCGATGTTGTAATCATGTTTGGTCTAACAGCTATAGAAACTTCTTTACTCATGGGTATGCGCACAAATTGCTTTGACACTAAGGGTACATCATTGGGTGGGTGCAGGAGAACTTTAAAACCCTGTATAGGACCACGACAAGCATAGTCCACTTCTTGTTTGAAACTTTGCAATGCTACAAAAAGACCAGCTCTGGTACCAGCACCCAAAACTCTGGCTGGATAAGTGCGCACAGAAGAGTCCTCATCGTAGCCATCTTCTAAAGACCAACTTAGAGTGC